GATAGATAGATAGATAGATAGATAGATAGATAGATAGATAGATAGATAGATTGCTGTTGTTATAAAATAAATATGTTTGGCTATATTATATTTATTATTAGCCCTAAGGTTATCGTGGTGGTATTATTTAACCCGCTATCACAAATAATGAGACACAGTCACCTGTTAGATTTATAATTGCCTTATTTAGCTTAGGCTGGGCAGATATTTCACTTACACTGTCTCAATATCCTCACCATCCATCTCCCAGCCCCCATCCAATGCCATCCACCTTAATCCTCGTCAATTGGACTACCTTTCATCCATAATCCCATGGTACTTGCTTATATTCTTCTATCTGGACCTTTTCATGCCATTATTGGAGTCCTTCCTCAGCCCACGTGTTTGTTTTCTCCAGGCTAACCCATCCTGGCATCTTCCTCCTTCCTCTCTTCCTGTCTGTCTGTCTCCCGTGATTCCTCATGGGATTCTCCAAAGCCCCAGGAACCTTAGCCACACCTACCCCATTTTGCCCTAGCCAGGCATAGGCTATTTATTTAGCCAGTCAGGTATAATGACTTAGGAAGGTTTACACAGAGAACCTAGCATCAGACCAACCTCCAATGATAGATAGATAGATAGATAGATAGATAGATAGATAGATAGATAGATAGATAGATAGATAGACAGACAGACAAGATAGATAAGATAGATTAGATAGAAAGAAAAAAAAAGAATGAGAACGCTCAAAACTCAATAATAAGAAAACACCCAACTTAAAAATGCACAAAATATCTGAACATTTTACCAAAGAAGCACACACAGATAGCAAATAAGCACATATAAAGACACTCAGTAGACAAAGATAAAAACAATAACAAGGCCTGCTATATACCTATCAGGATGGCTAAGAACCATGACACTGACACCAATAGGGGTGAGAAAGCAGAGCAGTGGGATCTTTCATTCACTCTTGGTAGGCAGATGAGGTGGCACAGACACTGAGGAAGGCAGTATGGCAGTCTCCCGCCACCTAAACATGCACCTGCCACAGAACCCAGCAACCACATTCCTGGGTCTTCACTCACATGAACTGAAAACTATGCTAAGATGAAAATACACACATAAATGTTCATAACAATCTCATTCACAACTGGGAAAGCTGGGAGCAGCCAGTGCCCTCTAATAGACAGGTTGGCTAAGTAACTGGGAGACAAAGGCTTGAGAATCCCTGGGTTGGAGGCCAGCCTGACCTATGGAGTGAGTTACAAGATAGCCAGGGCTACACAAAGAGACAGAAAGAGGACCCTATCTCAAGAAAAAAAAGCACAAAAACAAACAAGCCACAGAAAGCCATTGAAGAACCTTAAGTGAATAGTGCTAATAAAATAAGAACAGCCTGAAGATGACACCAAGCACATGACATTCTGAAAAGGCCAGAACTATAGAGATCCCAGGAAGATCAGTGGTTGCCAAAGATACAGGATAAGGGGCTGAATATGAAAATGTGGCACCCAGAGGATGGATTAAGGAAGCTATTCGATAGCCTATGTACTCGTGGTTACATAATATTGAACATTTAGCAAAACCCACAGAGCTGTACCACACAGAGAGTGGGACTTAATTTGCGCTCCCCACTGTGACTAACATGCTTCGTGAGCAAGTGTTGGCTCACAGGTGTAACAAACACACCACCCCAGTGCAAGGTGCTGAGTAGGGGTGGGAACTCCGAACTGTGGAAGAGGAACTAGGAGCACTCTGTTCTTCCTCTTGAATCTTTCCATATTTTAAACCCACTTTTAAAATGGACTATAGATAACAGATAGATGCAAAGAATAAAATTAAAAAGCAAAGAGTGGAATGAACAAAACCATCACTATTTGCAGACAGTATAATAAGCTACATAGGAAAATGAATCAAAGGAACAAAACTAAGAAAGGCCATCAAACCAAAAGGAAATAGGAAATGAGCTTATAAATATCGCTGATTGTCTCTATACAGAAATATCAATGATTAAATGTAGCAAAAGTACTAAATGTTCTCAAAAATCAAAAGTAGTAACATTTATGAAAAAGGGAAAGAATATCCCCTAAGATCTTATGGAAAATACTTTAAGTGCTACTAAAAGATATGGAAGATCTGAACAAATAGCTATATAGCCCTAGTTACAGATAAGACAACTTAACAAATATGAAAAGCAGGGACAAAGGTGTAAAGTTACTTTTCTATACATTAAAACATACTTCAATGCTATACACATAAGAACTATATGATTCTAGTATACAAGCACTATATTTGAACCAAAAAAAAAAAAAAAAGAGAAAACAGAGAGCAGATCTGTGTGTTCTGAAACTTGATGAAAATAGCATCCTGAATCATGGAAAAAGACTGAAGGCTGAGAAAACTTGCTTGCTACAAATAGAAAGATAAAAATTAGTTAGTTGATTGTTGGAGATAGTCCATTCGTCATCACAGGCTTCCTCTGGCAGCTGACAGGAGCAGATGTAAAAACCCACAGCCACACATTAGGCAGAGAAAGAGCCAATTTGGAGGTCTCCATTGGATCCCTCCTCTTGGAGCTTGGAAAAACCTGTGGAAAAAGGAGAGGAAGGATTGTAGGAGCCAGAGGTGTCAAGGACACCAGGAAAACACAACCATAGAATCAACTAAGTAGGGCTCACAGGGCCTCATAGAGACTGAAACTTGAATGACAGAGCCTGCATCGGTCTACCCTGGGTCCTCTGCATACGTGCTGTGGTTGTTTAGCTTGGGGTTTTTGTCAGGCTCTTAACAATTAGAGTGGGGGTGTCCCTGACTCTGTTGCTTGCTCTTGGGACCCTTTTCCTCCTACTGGGTTGCCTTGCTCAGCCTTGAGGATTTGTGCCTAGTCTTATTGCATCTTATTATGCCATGTTCAGTTGATATCCCTAGAAAGCCTTCTCTTTTCTGAAGAGAAATGGAAGATCCAGGGGAGAGAGGAGGGTCTGAGGTAGAGTGAGGAACTGGGAGGAGTAGAGGGAGGGGAAACTTCAGTCACAATGTACTGAATGAGAGAAGAATAAATAAGAAGAAAAAATAGCTGAGATATACACAATGCAAAGGTAACTTCAGATATAGTCAGTATTTAAGTATGGCAACATTATAAATGTGCTGGACATTGCATGCTGTGCTTACAGTCCCTGCAGTTCTGGAGGCTGAGGCAGGAAGACGGCTTGTGCATAGTTCTATTCAAGGCCAGCCTGCACTACACAGCAAGCCCCATCTCTCTTAGTGATTCTCAACCTTCCTAATTCAGGAAACACTTTAATATAGTTCCTTAGGTTGTGATG